TTATATCACAAAATCAGTGATTGGCATTAGCATCGAACAAGTTGGACAATGTCGTAGGTGGTACGAATTCAAAACTATTAAGAGCAAGACGGATATCTATTACTATCTCCCAAATAAAGACATATCCCGCTCCAACAGTTAAGGATTGTCCTGGCCACGTCCTTACAACTGGTATTCCTACCAGTATGGTATGTTACACAGATAAAAATTCTTAATTTTAATAGTGATGTAAACATTCATTCACGTAAACTTGTATTTAATTTCACGCAACCGAGCAACTTGTAAACAATGGTGTTTACAAATATGGGATTTTGTATACAACATTTACTTAAGAGAGATGCAGAGAACTCTACGATCCCTCATAAATGTCTCGAACATTTAGGAATTATGTTAGTAGGGAAGGTCACATTATATCACAAAATCAGCGATGTATATTTTTTTCGTTTTTGAGTTATATTTTTTTGAAGTTATCAAGTTTTGGGTTTTCGCTCAATACTCCTATGCGACTACCATGCGTCTTCATCGATTTATAGCGACTGTAACATGGGCTACAAATGGTGAGTCGACAAACTGGAAGGAGTGTTGTCCCAACAGCTCTGGTCCTCACAAGTTCCTACCTCACGCTTCCACGGGTCAGCCGATGACAAAGACCGCCAGCAAAAGATGCTGGTAGCGTAGCCTGGGCAATGTCACCACGATAAAAACATGGATCCGGATCGTGGTGATAGCAAAGTGAGGAGGTGCGACCCTCGAGCGTCTGTTCACCATGGAGGTGCGGCTCAAACAGCGTCTGTCTCGGAGCGAGCGGCTGAATAAGAAATGCTGTATCACGTCAGCTACACCTAAGGTGGCAGCCCCACCAACATGATGTAGGTATCGCGACCCCGGTAAGGTAGCATACTGAAACCCCCAACATTACTCAGAAAAACGAAGAAAGAGAAAACAACGAACGGAATTTTCGGCAACCGACCCGGCAACGAAATAAGGACACTGAATGGAAACTCGGTACTTGGAATGTCAGAACCTTAAATGAACCTGGACGAGCGGGCCTTTTGGCTCGTGAACTGCAAAAAGTGAATGTGAGCGTAGCTGCTATTCAGGAAGTACGGTGGCCTAGATCCGGAGAACGTGAATTCCGGGCGGTGGATCCCATCGCCAACACTTCCTTCAAGTATCATATCTATCACAGCGGTGGCGATAGGGCAGAACATGGAGTAGGGTTCATAGTGATCGGGAAGCAGATGAAGCGTGTTATGCGGTGGAGACCGGTAAGCGACCGCATCTGTGTATTAAGGATTCGGGGCAAATTCTTCAACTACAGCCTGATCAACATCTATGCGCCAACCAACGATAAATCCGATGACGTGAAGGACGCGTTTTATGACAGTCTCGATAAAACTTATGATGAGTGCCCAAAACACGACGTGAAGATTGTAATCGGAGATGCAAATGCGCAGGTCGGGAGGGAAGATTTCTTTCGTCCAATCATTGGTACAGAGAGCCTACATACAGTAACCAATGATAACGGCCTGAAACTGATAAACTTCGCCGCTGCTAGAGGTATGGCCATCAGTAGCACCTACTTTGCACGCAAGAATATCCGAAAGCACACCTGGAGACACCCAAATGGCGAAACTTGCACCCAGATCGATCACATGTTGGTGGATGGCCGGCACTTCTCAGATGTCATTGATGTAAGGACTTTTAGGGGGCCTAACATTGACTCAGATCATTATCTTGTTGTCTGCAAAATTCGGGCGCGTCTATCGACCGTTACGAATTCAACGAACCGGAGATCGATGCGTTTCAATATCCATCGCTTGTCAGTAGAAGGTGTTGCTGCAGAGTACCGCCAGAAGCTTGATGAGCGGATTAGCGAAATCAACGTGAACGAGGACCTCAACAATCTGTGGAACACAATCCACGGAGCGGTGAACACAACAGCACAAGAAGTGATAGGTACAGCTCAAAGACGACCACGTAATGGCTGGTTTGATAAGGAGTGCCAGAGGTTGACGGATGAGAAGAACGTTGCCAGAAGCCGGATGTTAGTGTCTGGTACCCGACTGAACAGAGAGCGGTACAAGGTAGCAAGGGCAGCTGAGAAACGAACCCACCGCAGAACAAAAGGCAATACGAAGAACGCGTGATTGCTGAGGCGCAAGAAAGTATGGAACAGAACGATATGCGAAGGTTCTACGCGACTGTCAATGGTGTGCGGAGTAAAACAGCGCCATCTCCCGCCATGTGCAATGACCTTGAGGGGAATTTGCTGACAGATAAAACAATGGTGGCTGCCAGGTGGAAACAACATTTTGAGACATTGTTGAATGGAGAGAGTGAGGGAGTATCGAGGAACAGAGTAAACATCGCAGACGACGATCAAGCTGTGGAGCCTCCAACGCTAGACGAGGTTAAAAAGGCAATACGTGAGCTGAAAAACAATAAGGCTGCTGGGAAGGACGAGCTCCCGGCCGAACTTTTCAAACACGGAAGTGAGCAGCTGCATCAAGCAATCCACCGTATTCTAACGAAGATATGGGAGGACGAAGAACTGCCTGCTAGCTGGTTGGATGGCCCCATTTGCCCATTATTCAAAAAAGGGCACAGACTCGAGTGCGCCAATTATCGAGGAATAACTCTTCTGAATTCGGCGTACAAAATACTGTCACGCGTTCTGTTTAACAGATTGATACCGCTTGAGGAGTCCTTCGTCGGTGAATACCAGGCTGGTTTTCGTGAGGGCCGATCAACGACGGATCAAATGTTTACCCTGCGTCAAATCCTTGATAAATTCCGGGAGTACAACTTGCAGACTCACCATCTGTTCATTGATTTCAAAGCAGCATACGATTCAGTGAAGAGAAATGAGCTTTGGCAGATTATGCTAGAACATGGTTTTCCGGCGAAACTAATTAGACTGATTCGCGCAACGCTAGATGGATCGAAATCAAGTGTAAGGGTTGCAGATGAGATTTCGACCTCGTTCGTGACCTTAGATGGATTGAAGCAGGGTGATGCACTTTCAAACTTACTGTTCAACATTGCTCTTGAAGGAGCGATTAGGAGAGCTGGTGTGCAGAGGAACGGTACCATCATCACACGATCGTACATGCTCCTTGCCTTTGCGGACGACATCGATATCATCGGAATTGACCGTAGAGCAGTGGAAGAGGCGTTTGTGCCTTTTAAGAGGGAGACGGCGAGGATTGGGCTCACGATAAGTTCTACCAAAACGAAGTACATGGTAGCCGGTAGACAGCGTGGGAGCAATAGTGGTGTTGGTAGTGTAGTGTTGTTAGATGGTGAACAATTTGAGGTAGTGGAAGAATTTGTGTATCTTGGAACACTAGTGACATGCGATAATGATGTTACCCGCGAGGTGAAGAGACATATTGCAGCTGCAAACAGGGCCTTTTACGGATTACGTAGCCAGCTGAAGTCCCGTAGCCTGCAAACGAAAACGAAATTCGCTCTGTATAAGACGCTGATACTTCCGGTAGCCCTCTACGGCCACGAATCGTGGACGTTAAAAGAGTCTGACCGGAGAGCATTTGGTGTCTTCGAGCGTAAGGTGCTGCGAACAATACTCGGCGGTAAACAGGAGAATGGCATCTGGCGGCGTCGCATGAATCACGAGTTGTACCAAGTGTATAACGGTACGGATATAGTGAAGCTTATAAAACACGGCAGACTACGGTGGGCTGGGCATGTAGTGCGGATGCCGGAAGAACGACAAGCAAATATTATATTCAGCAGAGAACCCGGTAGAGGTCGTCGACTCCGGGGTAGACCTCGGACACGTTGGCTATTTGCAGTTGAGGAGGACATCAGGTCGCTAAACGTTCATGGCGACTGGAAGCGATTGGCTCAGGACCGAGTCCAATGGAGAAGAGTACTTCGTTCGGCGTTGAATCAACCTGGCGATTCGTAGCCCATCAAGTATCAAGTAAGTAACATGGTCACGACAGTAAAAAATTAACACACAACACAATTACAGTTTATTTCACTAAATTTTTAAAGTCAGCGATTCCTAGTCTTGACTATTTCAAACTATCGGAACAGGATTTTTTAGTAATCAAAGGTACAAATCTTAGTCCTTGTTACTTTTTATGCCTTGTTGATAGTGACAAGACTCGTCTTTGTCCACCGAGGATGATCTTGAAACAAGGGAAAAATGAGTTAGTTAGTCTTCATCTATGTGATTCCTAATCTGCTATTCGTTTTTTCCTAGTTTGAAGTGGTTAGGACTAGGGTTCTGATGCATGGTCATTATCAGTGTTATTGCTTGATTTTGTTGCTATGGAATCCAATTTTGACTAACAATGGGGCGCGCTTTTGGAGGGTGTTCCAGCACTCCGAAGGGTATAAATAGCGGAACCTTTCAATTAGAATCGATTCCTTGCGATGAAGGCAAGAATGACGACTGTATCAATACCGAATACTTCATCATTTCTCAATAGTGATGGAGTAATACGACATGCACTAAACTAAGGGCATGGGATATACTACAATAGATCAAATTACTGGTCGCAGTGGTGTTAGATCCCGAACAGAGGAGAAAAAAAACTTATCAAGTTTTGGGTTTTCGCTCAATACTCCTATGCTACCATGACTACCATGCGACGTGACCATGTTACAGTGGCTCTAAATCAATGGAAACGCAGGGTAGTCTATCGTTCTGCTATGGAATGGCTATATTATTATATTGAGCTTTCGAAAATCGTCAATGGAAAATCAGTGTGTACATATGTAGCAAAATCTGTCCACCTTCTTTTAATTGTTTTGATGAGCATATCTAAAATCATACGGACCAATGTACGGGAATGGGAATTGAATCCGTAATTTTCTGCATGAGACGCTTTGAATAACTAATCTCGTTAAATATTGAGTTTAATCACAACACTGTGACTGTCAGTGCCTTATAACATGTTATTACTCTGCAGTCTGAACATAGCATCAGTAGCATACCAAATGCTGATTATAATTCTTCATTACAGAAACAACCTAACTAAAACCACCACTGTACGCAGCACACCACTGCTAGCGGATACCGAATGTTCTACCACGGAAAAATTCGCCATTATTGTGCATGGATGGCACGAGAACTGCTACGAAACCTTTTGGGTCAAAGATTTGGAGAAAAACTTATACATTTACCGAGGAGGATGCGTCATCTGTATGGACTATTCCACATTTTCGAGCGGCGCCTACACCTACTTGTTCAGGAGGTTCGATGAAATCAGTTCAGTGCTGTTGAAATTTGTGCGCATATTGCAATACGAAGGAATGCTATTTGACAAATTGTTCATGTTTGGCTTCAGCTTCGGAGGCCAACTGGTGCTGGACGTCGGCAATCAGGTGGGATTCAATGCGATCGAAGCTATCGATACTTGCGATATGGCGGGGGTGGGATTCGACCAGGATCGATTCTTCAAGGGAATACATTTCCGGAATGCAGCCAAGAATGTGCAGTGCATCCACACTAGTATCGATAAGGGGACAAAGTTGATGAACAAATGCCACCAGGATTGGCGGATGGGTCAGTGTGGGTTTAGACAACCCGCTGCGGGAAATCCGCCCTTGGGATCACATGGCTTGTGTCCAGTATTCTATAATTTAGCTTTCGAGAAGAACTTCTACGCTGAATCAAAACCACTGGATTGCATCATGTTACGGGATCCTAGTGCAGAATATCCAAGCAAATTTAAGATGGGATATGCGGAGAAACGGAAAGAGTAAGCAAAATATAAAAAGCGGAATTTGAGTGGAACATAATATTTTATTTTTTCGATATTCTGTTTTTGCAGGCAAGTTAGAGGAGAGCTGTACGCTCAAACGTCGAATCAATTTCCATACACAGTGTTCAATGGATCTTAGGGGGAAAAATGCAAACCAGTTTAATGAACCCAGTGACTTTAATATGCAAATAAAAATAAATGATAAAGCTGAATACCTGTTTCCTTTGAATTGTTGCCATTAATTTATTGTTTACTTTCCCCTATACATAAACCAAGTAAAACATTTGCGCTGGTGATAAAAGGTTGTGAATGATAAAATAAAACCGTTCTCGTTTATGGATGACATGTGTCGTATAAGGGTGGATCACGCTCGATTTATTTTACTCTAAATAGAGTAACGTCTACTCACTTTCGTATTTGCATACTAAGGCGGTGTTATATTTGGTGAATTTTGACTGATGCAGTCATGGCCGAAAAAATGGGGGAACTCCACTTCCATTTTTTTTAAATCCTTTTTCTGACTTCAAAGTCGATTTCTGCTCAAATTTCAACACAAAGATCTACTCCAATCCAGTCAGTGGTGGCACAAGTACTGGTTTTGTAACATTGTTTCCATAACATTTTATACTATTCACCATGACCATACTGCCGGTGGAAGCATAACTGTCCCATGTGACATTTCGACTTTTTTGGGATTATGATGCTCAACGGGATAAATAAATACATATTTTTGAAATATTATATTCAAACATGCTGTTTATTCTAGAAAAATTAAAAAAAAATGTGAAGTCGTTTTGTCCCATTGCAAAAATGGACGCATATCTGTCCCACTGCTCCAATTTTTAATACGTATAAGAAATTATTCAAAAATTATAGTCTGTTTTCCAAATAATACATCGTAAACATATTACAAGCTCCAAACGATTGCCCAAATGGTAAAATTAATATTTTAATTAATTGGATGATACCTCGATAACGTCGTAAGCATATTAACACTTTTTTAAGGAAAATTTGAGCTATCATTCTCAGTTCTGTTACTATTTACTAACAAATAATTTAAAAAATTTACTAATCAACTTGCAACACCTTACCGTATTTGTACCTTTTCGTGACACGTATGATTATTTGGTATTGAAAAACTATGGAGTAAAATGATGAGATTTATTTTAAAAATAAAAGAAATGCATACAACGGTTAACCTTTAATAACTATCATTCCGATGCATGCATGTTATTTAAGGTTAACCGTTGTATGCATTTCATTTATTTTCGTCGATTCGATGTTTTGTCTTCTCTAATAACAGGTATGACAACTGCCAACAGAGAGACTTTCCTATCTACTTTAATTCCACAAGGAGACCTTTGCCAGAGTACGTTAGCTTCAGTAGAGAACGTATCCTTTTCGATCAGCTGAAGTTGTTTCTTGGAAACAGTTTGTAGTATTTAAGGTCCTCGCTGTTGATGTTGCTTGCGTATCCTAGCTCATAACTTCCTTTTTGAAAAACCAATTTTCTCATGATGTCCACGATGGCTTGAATAAGTTCAACGTGTACTGTGATACATTAAACTTGGCTTGGAACGACACGTTCGAGACGCATTTTTTTGCCTCTAAGAATGTCATTGGCAGTGCGACCACTGATCGACTCAGGCCTAATACATGCAGACACTGGAAATGATCGTGCGTATGCGCCAACAGGAGCAAATGTCTCGTTAAAGACTAATAGCTATCACTATCACTGGAACCACCGTACTGCTTTGAATATTCTATGGCAGACGTTTCCGGCCCTCATTTAAATCAGTGTCAACATTTCAAAGGGACGTAATTGCTTTTGTAAAAAAATTGCTTTAGCCGTCGATATCTCACAAATAAATGCTCATCCCTCCAAATTAACAATGCTAGCTGGTAGATAAAACATTCCTGAGCCTGTGTCTCTGTGAAGTCATTAATTTTAATGAGTGAGCTTTTTTCCACGAGAAATCGACGGCTAAATCCATTGTATCCAATCCATGCACTGAAATAAACAATTTAAAGATCAAATAATAACAGCAGCAACTGAAAAGTTGTTCACAGTGGGACCAGGGCCCTACAAAGTCACTTTCAATCGAAAATCTTCAAGCGACGATGAAGCTTCACCCATCACATTCAATTGAAAGTCATTTTGTCTTCTCTTTAAGCAGATCCTTGTCAACATCAGCAGAACCACTTTCGATCAGTTTTCATGCTGTTTGTTTTGGCTTGACTAGTGTTATTTTCTTTTTTCAATGTCAAATGAACTTACTTTTGCATTTAAGCGAAGCTGTTTGATCCAAATTCACGCAGTTTTTATGACTTTTGTTGATTTAAGCGTATGCGCATAGATCTGTGCACTTGGATGTCAAATTTATCATTGTCGATTGGTTTGTTTACCCATCAATATGGGTAATTTTTAATCGGGGTGACGTCTAGAAATCAAAAATTGATATGCGACGTTATTTTGAAATCTAAGATGGTGACTTCCAGTTTAAGAAAAAGTGGGAAATGCTGTCAAATACTTATCAATAAAGGTATTTTTTGAATCGGGGTGATGTCTAGAGGATGACAATCGATATCCGACGCCATTTTGAAATCGAAGATGGCGACTTCCGATTTACGGAAAAGTGAAAATAAAGTCAAATGCACATCAATATTGGTATTTTGTAATCGGTCTACAGATCGAAAATTGATATGCTACGCCATTTAGAAATCCATGATGGTGGCATCCGATTTCAGATTAAGTGGGAAATACTGTCAAATACCCATCAATATAGGTATTTTTGGAATGGGAATGGCGTCTAGAGGCCGGAAATCAATATCCGACGCCATTTAGAAATCCATGATGGTGGCTTGCGGTTTTAGAAAAAGTTCTAAAAAAATCATGCTGAACTTTGCATTAAGTCCTAAGTAACATTGTTCGATTCTCTTCGTCGACTTTCTCTTTCGTTAATAACTTATTCACAGAACCGTTTCTTGATGTGTTTGTCGTATTGGATGCTAGATAAAAGCTTCTTTTATCGATGTATGTGCTGAAAATACCTGGGAATGTCTTTACATGACCGTTGGGATGCAAAGAGAAAGTCGACGAAGAGAATCTGTCAATGTTACTTACGACCTAATGCAATGTTCAGCTTGAAATACCCATACAACCGGTTTTTTTTTAGAATCAGGGTAACATCTAGAAGCCGGATATCGATATCCAACGCCATTTTGTAATCCAATACGGTGAATTCCGATTTGCGGAAAAGTGTCAAATATCCTAAAATATGGTTATTTTCAGAATGCGGATGAGACGTAGATACCGAAAATTGGTTCAGAAAAACTGTGAAATACTGTCAAATACCGATCAATATGGTTTTTTTTTTAAATCGAGCTGACACCTAGAAGAAAGAAATCGATGTCCGACGCCATCTTGAAATTCTAAATGGTGGCTTCCGATTTCAGAAGAAGTGTCAAATAGACTACAAATGGCATCGAATATCGATTTTTAACATCTACGTGTCGTCCTCGATTCCGAAAATGCCCAGATCTTAGGGTATTTGACACTTTTTTGAAACTCGATGGCCGCCATATTGGATTCCAAAATGCCATTGCATATTGATTTTCGGTATCCACACGTTGTACACATTGTGTGGTGGATTCCAACATAGCGTCGGATAACGATTTTCGGCATCTACGCGTTGTCTCTGTTCCGAAAATAACCATATTGTAGGGTATTAGACACTTTTTCTGACACCCTATGGCCGCCATATTGGAGTCCTACATAGCATCGGGTATCGATTTTTCGCAGCCACGCGTTGTCTCCGTTCCGAAAATACCCATATCTTAGGGTATTTGACACGTTTTATGAAACTTGATGGCCACCGTCTTGGATTCCAAAATGGCGTCGAATATCGATTTTCGGCAGCCACGCGTTCTCTCCGTTCCGAAAATACCCGTATTGTAGGATAGTTGACACTTTCTGAATCCTGATGGCCGCCATATTGGATTCCAACATAGCGTCGCATATCGATTTTTGGCATCTACGCGTTGTTCCCGTTCCGAAAATACTCATAGCTTAGAGTATTTGACACTTCATAAAACCAATGACCACTATCTTGAATTCCAAAATGGCGTCGGGTATCGATTTTCAGCATCTACGCGGCATCCCCGTTCCGCATATACCCTATTGTAGGGTATTTCTCGGGGTATTTGACACTTTTTTCTGAAACCTGATGGCCGCCAATTTCGGATTCTAAAATTACGTCGAATATCGGTTTTCTGCACCTTCGCGTGGTCCTCGTTCCGAAAATACCCATATTGTAGGGAGACTTTCCCTGACCTCGATGGCTGCCATCTTTGACTCCAGAATGGCCTCGTTAATTTAATTTTCGTTTTATATAAAATAATATATTATTACTAATATAATCCGGATGCCATCCCTATCAGCAACCAATATTGTGCGGATGCTATCCAGATACTATATTTTGATTCCTGCGTCGTCGGTTAGGGACAAGTCGAATGAGCCACGAATTGAAGTGAAAGTGGAAAAAAACGAAGGAAGCAGTTTTCGAGTCATTCATTGCGTCAATTGAAATAAGTCTTGTCAAGTCAAATGAAATGAACTGAAGCACTTGACGAACGAAACAAGTGATAGTCCAGTCATGTTTGAAAAGAGGAATGTTCATCGTGACTCGATAACAAGAAACACGATGACTTACCCAAAAATGATATTGCTCGAAATGAAGCGATTCTGCGGAAAGTTCATTTTCTTTTCTTTGTTTCGAAAATGCAGAACCCTGAGTGGGACAGATATGCGTACATTTTTCAACTCGTCAGGGAAATTCGCGGCATAAGTGTCACAGAAGATTTTGTAATGGAAAAATTTATTTTTTGGCAACATTTTGACAAACTTTCTATGGAATAGTTATATTACGTCAGTTTTTCGAAGAAGAACCAAATTTTTCCGTGAAATTTTACGATAGCAGCAAAACGTCTGTTCAAACTTTAACTGCAGTTTTCTCATTTTTGTGTTTTGTAACATGGGACAGTTATGCTTCCACCGGCAGCATAGTGAAGACACACAAAAACAAACTGGCAAGCGGAAAAATGTTTTTCGTGTAAAGAAACCAGCATGTAGAATTTTGC